TGTGGGAAGAGCTTCAGCCGTGGCTCCAACCTGCTGCAGCACAAGCGGATCCACACAGGGGAGAGGCCCTACCGATGCCCCGAGTGCTTGAAACCCACTGCCCTATAGGATAGGGGTCACTGATCAAACCTCAGTGGCCCTTGGAGGGATGTGCCACCACATCAGGCTGAGGGTCTGCAGTGGCGGATTATGGAGCCAGCTGGGATCCTGGCCTGGTAGCCCTCATGGGGCACATTACTACATTGTGTCTCACCTCTCCCCACCTGGGATTGAACCTAGTACCTCTGTTTCCTAGACCTATGCCTCCCTCCTGTCTGCAGTAAAGGACATGTTGCCTGCGAGGCACTGACAAACCCATCATTTAGCTGTTAGAGAGGGACATAGGCACCCTGTTAGCACAGTTACAGCCAGCCTGAGGATCACTGGATTATGTACCCATATTCCCTTGGTTGATCTGTTTATAGGGCTCGAACCCACAACCTCTGGGTTTCCACTGCCCTATGTTCTCTGCTTGGTTCAGGTCCCATTCAACCAGGCTGAGAGTCTGAGAGGTAAAAACAAGCACTGCTACCTCTCTGTCATGCCCTCTTTCCTCCTGCTGGTGGCATCAATATGCGCCATCAGCTCACAATAAATTGAGTGGATCATCAGGCTGTGGCCAACCCTCTCTTTTATTACATGGAAGAAGTAAGTGTGTGTGTGTGAGAGAGAGAGAGAGAGAGAGTTGGAGGGAGAAGCACAGTGCATGGGTCCTGGACCGTATGGGGGTTACATCAGGGGGTCCATAGAGAAGATGGACCAGTCAGAGGTAGCACATATTATTGGAACACCTAGGAGTCTCAGTCAGGCTCCAGGACCGCACTGTGGTGGGTGCTGTACATTATTTATTAGGTGTATTATGGTAACACCTAGGAGCACTGGTTAGGCAGCAGGACTGCACTGAGCTTGGTGCTGTACATTATTTATTAGGTATTGTAACGGGTTGCCCCCTCCCCCTTCCAGGGACCTTGGCCAAACTGGACAGTCACTACGCAAGAGGATAAATGGACACAAGTCAGATATCAGGAATGGCAATATACAAAAACCTGTAGGAGAACACTTCAACCTCCCTGGCCACACAATAGCAGAGGTAAAGGTAGCCATCTTACAGCAAAAAAACTTCAGGACCAGACTCCAAAGAGAAACTGCTGAGTTCCAGTTCATTTGCAAATTTGACACCATCAGCTCAGGATTAAACAAAGACTGTGAATGGCTATCCAACTACAGAAGCCGTTTCTCCTCCTTGGTGGTCACACCTCAACTGCTAGCAGAGCACCTCACCCTCCCTGATTGAACTAACCTCGTTATCTCCAGACTGATTTATACCTGCCTCTGGAAATTTCCATTACTTGCATCTGATGAAGCGGGCATTCACCCACCCCAGTTCTGTCTTGTCTCTCCCTTATCCCTCCTATAACAGCCCATGCTCCCCCCAAATCCCCAACGTTCTCCCAGGTCTCCATGTTTTTGATTTACCTGTGGGCTTTGGTCACTTGCCACCTTCTAACCTAGTTTAAAACCCTCCTCACTTGGTTAGCCAGTCTGTAGCCAAATATGCTCTTCCCCTTCCTCGATAGGTGGACCCCATCTCTGCTTAGCAGCCCTTCTTCCTGGAACAGCATCTGTGGTCAAGAAAGCTGAAGCCCTCCTGGCGACCCTCGGGAGTGGGGGAGTGGCATGGGGCCAGGGTAGGCAGGGAGCCTGCCTTAGCGGCAACCACGCTGCATCACCAAATAGGAGCTGCTGGAGGTAAATGCTGCCCGGTGGGAGGCCGCACCCAAACCCCCAGCCCTGAGCCCCTTCTGGAGCCAGCACCCTGAACCCCCTCCTGCACCCCCAGCCCTGAGCCCCCTCCCAGAGCCAGCACCCACAAACCAGCCCTGAGCCCCCTCCTGCACCCCAAATCCCAGCCTGACCCCCCTCCCAGAGCCAACACCCCATACCTCCTCCTGCAACCCAACCCCCTGCCCCAGCCCTCACCCCCCTCCCACAGCTTGCACCCTTCACCCCCTCCTGCACCCCAACCCCCTGCCCCAGGCTCAGCCCAGAGCCCCCTCCCACACTGTGAACCCCTCGG